CAATGCTTCATAAAATATTGTTTTCTGAATCCACATATACACATATATACACACAATCATGCAGTTTTGCTTACATATAGAAGATCTTTTTGATGAATATAAAAGAACATGTTGTTTTTCTTGGCTTTTTGCCGATATCATTAATGATAATGTGTGATGAACAGCGTCCGGTTGCTACGAAAAACATTTCGTTACTTCTCTAAGGTGTTCAGACCTCTCTTTCGATCCTGATGAAGGTTATCACAGCCGCAGCTCTATGCACCTAACGTACTCTATGTTCTGTTACTTTCAGTCACTAGCTGTTTGTTATTGCAGCGATAGCGATCGCTGAGTTTAGATTGAGCAACTCCGGAAAATGACCAATATTGAGGTGCAAACCTTTCAGTGCAATAAAAACCTCTTGTTTTTGCTTTAAACGTAAGTCTGACGATAATCCCACTGGGAGCTCCAAATTTTTTCACACAAACTTAGTAAGTGAAAATGAGTGCCGTATCTACAATTAGCCTAAAAGTTGCTCATAATCGCAGCTTACTTTTGTCCAGAGATTGTAGATTATGTGCTAGAGCTCATTGAACATTAAGAAAGCCTATCGTTGAGAATCATGCGGCTACCTCGCGTTAGCCAAAATACTAACACTTAAGTGAGTCCATGAGGGAATTAACATTGAGATGAAGAATGTGCTGAAGTAAGTAGATAGTTAAGCGAGACTACAGGGCCTGCTTTTTTTCCCACCTGTCGAAAATAGTAAGTGATAAATCAAGCACCGCTCGTTTTTCTCTAGCTTTTTTCGGTCAAATTCACTCTTAAATTGTTCTAGAAAGAAAGGTGCAAACATCAGTTTTCCTCCCAGCATCACTTCTGTAGCCGATTATTTTGTTCAGAAGTGATCAGTGTTGCTTCCCAAAGTTGCAATTCAATTTTCATATACTCCATTTCACTACTAGCACAGGACATCCATAATTCTCTCCGCCCCAAGTTCAAAGCATGTAAGCAGAGGCGTCCCTTAGAGCATACAGCAAACCATTTGACAAT